CCCCCCCCCCCCCGGTGTTTGCCACCGGGGTTGAATTTCGTCGCTTGGCAGCGATGATGTTAAACAAGCCGATCACTTCGTGAGCTCGACAACCAGCTTACCGCTTTTTTCTTTCCTTTGATTTTTTTGTTGCAGTATCCACGATTGGTGGTCGAGTAGATCATGTTGTGCGGGGTCGAGAACCGTCACTCCGCGCAAAGGGGATGATCGCACCACGTTGTGTTAAAATGGTCAAGCACCCTCGAGGCAGTTACACAGTGCTTACAACTGTCTCTGGAAGTGAAAGCACCAGAAAATAAAGTAATTCATACGCAGCTGTCATCCGTACGCAAGGAAGTAAACACAAGGTACCGAACACCAGTAGCAGGATGCAGCGCACCCTTCATGCGACCCGCCGAATACCTCACGGCGCTTCGCGCTTGGTGATGTGAGAGCCTGGTCCGGTGAGAACCCGGCGTGCTCCGTCCCGGCTTTGTAGGGATGCGAGGTCAATGGTCTAACGACTACGGCATGCACGACTATGAGTACACCCCCCCTCCCCACCCTTGTCGAGTGGCACATGCGAGGGATGGACTCCAGACTAAGCACGACAGGCCCGGAAGCAAGTAGGCCAACCAGTAATCTCACATCTCATATATATCATACTGCTGCGCGTTCTTGATTGTATCTCCTTGGTTCGAACACAATTTACAAAAAAACAGCAGTGCTTCCGATCACCAAAAGAGAACCCCTACAAAAAAGAGCCAGAATGTCGAAACACGCCTATTTAGTCCTACAAGGACGGATGTCCTCCAGTGCCTCTCCGCCCGTCACCTGCGCGTTCTCGATGGTATCAAGGAGGTTCTCCACGTCCTCCCCGGTGTACCCCCCGCCCCACCCCAGCACGCGGGCGAGGTCGTTTCCTGTCCCCAGCGGAAGAATGGCCAGTGGAGGCCGCTTCACCTTCCAGCTGATGGCATCCACCGACTGGGAAGGAGGTGAGGAGGAGATGAGGAGTTCCACGAGGGGGTGGCGTTGAGGAGGAAGCGATGGGGGAGTGAGGAGCAAGAAACGCGCAAGGTGGTGAATACACAGCAGCACGAGGCTACAGACACACACGCGGCCCCACGAAAATTGACGCCCTGTGTGGAGGGTGTCCATGGTTCCCAGTGGGAGGGCCCCCTGGCCAGGCGATGGCTACACCGAAAAAGCACAACGACGGTACACAGGTGTTGCACCAGCAGAGCAAATAGAACAAGGCGATTGAGGTGTACGGCATAACGTGCACACGTACACACACAGCAGTCGCAGTGCCGTCAACACGAAGCCCAACGCAAAACAGAGCAACTGTTCTTGTAACAACGCGGGAGGTGAAAAACAGGCATTCCTGCCACGTTCCATCTGTGCTGGTAGTAGCAGACGCAGCCAATAAAAACAGAAAAAACAGATCGGGAGTGGCACCCCAAAAAAAACAACATATTCAGTCCTGGAGACTCGTTGGCCAACGAGGCAATAAATACTACCGGTATCGTCCGCTAGCTGAAAAACACGCAGTGCCAAAACTTGCGAGGAAATTACTACGTGTGACGGGATCTGGCCCATACCTGCAGAAGCCAGGCCACGGTCCCGTCGCCCCCGCAGGCGAGAAGCCTCAGGTTAGCCACGTTCCGGAAGCGTTGCAACACCTCCAGCGGGTCCTCCTGGCTCAAGTCGATCACCTACGTATAGTGATGGAAGTGTGCCGTATGCATACATTGATCCCTTGAAAAAGCACAGGTTGAATCTGGTCATCTACGTCATCTACGAAGCGACACGAGAACATTTGTATCCCCGGCGGCCCTGGCGGGGGGGGCGCCGCGGACCGGATATTATCACCATTTTTCTTGTCATGCAGCCTACGGCAGTGTTGTCATTGGATAACAGGTCAGCGCCGTCGATGCTTGTAACGGAAAGCCATCTACACATGCACACACAGTGCACTCAGATCTTCCGCCCCCCCCCCCCCCCCCCCCCCCCCCCCC